GGGGGGCGATGCACGGCTGCAGCCGGGGCTGAGCCAACCCCCGCCTCTCCGCTTCTTCCCAGACTGCCCCGTGGACCTGTTCTTTGTCCTGGACACCTCCGAGAGCGTTGCCCTGAGGGTGAAGCCCTTTGGGGACCTGGTTGCCCAAGTGAAAGATTTCACCAACCGGTTCATTGATAAGCTGACAAACAGGTACCTCTCCTGGGGTTTTGTCCAGGCTGCTCTAGGGATGGGTCCTGGTGCCGGGTGGGATGCTGAGACCACCCCATGCGCCCATCCAGAGGGAGAGGAAGAAAGCAGGGATGCAGGGGAGGGGGTGGGAGCGTCTCCTCCCTCTCTTGGTCTGCGGCCACCCCATTTTTGCTCCGTCCTCACCGAGGGCAGCGGCGTGCCTTTGCCAGCCCTTGGGAAAGCAAGGGCTTCCCGGAGCGGCAGACACAGCACCCCGGCCTCCGGCTGGACGGGCGGTTATTCTGTAGTGCCAAAGCAATGCTGCACCCCGGGCCATCGGCCGCTCAGGCCCAGAACAACCCGGGTGCTTGGGTGGCAGCAGGGCACCTCTGATGTTAAACCTGGCACTCATGGGCACCCTGCAGAGCACCCCCCTTGAAAGTGGTCTACCCCAGGACAACGTGCAGCATTGAACCCAGCTTTGGATGCCCCTTATCCACCCCACTGCCCAGCCCTTTATCTGCTTCCTCCTCTCCCACTCTTGCAGCCACCGACCTGGGTCTGACCCTGGCTTTCCCAGGTGAGGTCACCCAGGGATGCCCCAAAGCTCCCAGATGCCGGAGGGGGGTGATGCTGGGAAGGGCTGCAGGCAGAGGCCGTGGCTCGCCTGCTGGCAGGACATCCAGGGATGCACAGGAGCACCACAAGTCCTGGAGGCATGTGGGTCTTGCTGAGCCCCTTGGGACAGCAGGAAACGTGTGCTGGTGCCCAGAGGGGCACCACAGGGATGTCCCAGTGCTGCACGAGCTGGAGGGGCAAGGCACCCATCTTGAGACAGGCAGGAGGGGGTTAGCAGCTCACCTGCCCGTTGCGCAGGCAGGAGAGCTACCTTAGCAGGCATTGAGTGACCAGGAGCCCCGTGCTTGGGAACAACCTGCCAGGCTTCCATCAATGCAGCACGACCCTCTCCTAAGCAAGACTCTGGGCTTTGTCCAGAGCCCCTGCTGCATGTGGACAGATGGATGGACCTCCTGAGACCACCTCGAGCACCCCTGTGCCTACCCTGCCGCTCTCTACCTGCTCTGGCTCTGCAAGCCACCACCGTGCATGCTGTGCTGCCAGGCACCCGCAGTGTGCACAGCACGGTCAGCACGTGTGATGGCGAGGCAAATGGCAGCGGTGGGGTGGAGGGGACAGCAGTGAGAGATGCTCAGGTGGTTTTGGGAAAGGTCCTGCTGGGCAGAGAGGAGATGGGCTGGGGAAGTGAGGGAGCTGTGCAACCCCATCCCTTTGGGATTGGCCCCAGCATCCTGAAAAGACCCTTTTTGGGCCACAGGAGGCTGTGATGCCTCTGTCCCAGGGAGTCACAGGTGCAGGCCATGTCAGCATGCAGGATGGGCCTTCACTGCACACACTCATCTGTCTCTGAATCAGAGCATCCTTCAGAGGGAGGCATCCCTCTTTGATTTTAACACATCCAGCAGCAGAAAACTCACCGCAGTCCTGTTTGGGTATTTCGGTGGTTACCTGCCTTGCGCACACACGCGCACACACCCCCCTGGATGTCTGACTCAGCATCTCATGCTCAGCTCCAGCCTGGTACCTCTTCAGGAAGCCTCTCTGCCAAACTGTCTGACCCCTGTGGACACCCACCAGCT